TACAAAAAGTGGTTTAAAATTTAAAAACTATAGGTACCTGAAAGTAATCACGAACCCCGTTTTTTTTTACTGAATCGAAACTCCCGATGCTCATTACTCGTCATCGATGCGAAATGGGTAGATTATCTTCCTACGCGGGTCGATTCGTTTCAGTTTCTCGGCAGAGGAAAGAGCGAATCGGCACGTAAGAAAACTTGCGACTTTAAAAGTAATCTGCGAGTCTCGCTGGTGGAAACTCCCTAATGAGGTTATAAAACGTTATTCGGCCATCCGATTATCTGGCTCGAGCAAATTATGTTTCGCTCCCGAACAGCCCCGATTCTACACGAAGCACGTGAGCAGTGGCGATTTTGCAAGTTGGCAACACTTTTCCCCTCCATTTAAATCCATTAAAAATATAGATTTCGGTAAAATGCGCTGCCTCCCCTAAAATCGATAATTTAACATACATTTAAATGGAGAAAAAACAATGTTGCCAACTTGTTGTACCACTACACGTGACGTGCGCAAGGCACGGTTTTATCGCACCATCCCCTAACCTGCACGGCGATGAAATTTCCATAACGCTAATAGCAATTGGACGCATCTCCGCCAAACGGAAGTATGTGCGCTAAGGCATGGGCCCCGAGACCCATAAGAATATACGCATAACAGGGCTCACGTCGTAATGCACACAGTTCCGTTCGGCAGAAATTCGTCTAATTAATAGAAATGACCCGAACAATCAAAATCGAATTAACGAGCTGGATTTAAATACAGCGTGATAAAAAAACCGAGACCTTGAACCTGATTCTTAAATATTATCGAGAACAGATTACGAGAGGTTGAGCTTGTGTTCAAGGCCGCGACTTGAGTTTTCGAAGCCGTTGATGAGGAATTATCGTCGTTGTACACTATTAATCACGGCTGCACGGCACTCCCGAAAATTTTTCAGAGAAAATATAGTGACTTCGCTCGAGTGCTGTGAGGCGAACCAGGCTAAAATAAACACGATAATCGCTCCGCGCCGAGGTCGCTTCAACACATCGTATTTTCATCACGCGCTTTTCCGACTTCAAGTATTTTACACGACTCAAATATTTAAGCCACGCGACATTGGCGAAAGGTCACGGCGGGCTCTGAAAATTTAATATAGAGGATTCAAAAAGGCCGAGGGGACAAGTGCTAGTCGCTGCGATTGATGACATCATTTTAAAAAACTGCGGACCGCAAAAATCAAGATTCCGATCGATTTTTTTAAATACAAAATATTCAATTCAGGGTCCGTATGATAAAGAATAACCTGAGTATTTTGGGAGTAAACCATCGGTGCTAACTAATTTGTGACCATTAATTTTGGCTGGTAATATTTAAAGTGGGGAAACGTCAAAAATGATGCCAATTCAACCAATATAAGAATTATGTTGGTGTAAAATGCATGCCTATCGAGGAAAATATATAGTTAATTTTCACCATTGGAAATACTGAGAACTGCGTTAACCTTTACCTTATATTTTATCTGATAATATAATTCACGAATATTCAAAAACGTATTGGTTTTGTACATTACTTAACTGACGGGACATTTAATGCCATCAAATTTGCGATTATAAATTTATTACATCCAACTTGCAATTTTCAATCTTTACTAGGAATTCCAAATTACTGAAATATCACTAGAAGTGATGAAATTCGCATATAACAGGCCACAGTGTAAATAAAATAAATCTTTTTCGAGAATTAGAGGTAGGTAAATGTAATCAGTTTTTACATCCTGGGAATGCACAGCGACAAGAAGTACTAATTTAAAAGCAACGTTAAGTAACCGATTGCAAACAAAGATGATGGAATACAAAATTAGCTTAAAACCAAGCAAGGGCCACGAGAACCTAGTATTGTCATGAGTCATACTTAAAAAGTATTGGTGCATTTTTTTAAAAACACATTAATTCCGTTCTCTCTTCAAAAGAGAACTTCCTTCGGAGGTCGTACATTGCAGGTCATGATAGTCAAAAATTATACGACCGAAATTTAGTATAAGGGATCGTAAATTTAAAACCGATTCATGAGAGGATAATGAAGGATGACGAATGATGATGTCAGAAAATCACCCTACGGAAGCGACATGGATGCTTTACCAAGTAAGATAAACAACTTAGGATAAGAGGCACAATATGACGTATATCTGTTGAAAGAGGCATATATTCATGCAAAAATAGGCCCCGTTTCGAGAGCTTCAGGGGGCAATCGGGCTGCGGTGTTTACTCAGAAACGTGACCTTATTCTTGTTGAAGTAGGGCATCATGCAATGAATGATTTCTGGGCTTCCGATTCCTCGCGCTCATCCTCGCCCAGCCTTGAGGCGTCGCAGCGATTCTTTCGCCCAACGATTCGGGAGTCGGGCGCTTGAAGGAGATGAAAATTCCATCCGATGGCCCGGAAACGACCCACAATGGAACGAGTTAATGGGGGAAGTCGGACAAAACTTGGAAACTTTAAAAGCTCAAAACGCCATCATTACAGAACGTGGAGGTCTTAAAAGTGGTACCATTGGTTTCCGCGTCGAATTTACTTCAGGAAACCACCCCTCAAACTTTAAAATCCCACGAAATAAACATCTAAATTTGCAGTTTTGTTTAAAAAATTCATGTTGGACCTCTCTTTGATTCGATCTACTGTGCGACAAAATTTTGCAACCTTTAAAAGCTCAAAATTCCATCATTACAGAACGTGGAGGTCTCTAAAGCGGTACAACTAGTTTTCTCGTGAAATTTACTTTGGGAAGCACCCCTCAAACTTAAAAATCTCACGAATTCAACATCTAAATTTGCAGATTTATTTAAAAAATACATTTTCGACCTCTCTCTTTGACTCTTGAAATTTTGAAAGCTTAAAATTCCATCATTACAGAACGGAGAGGTCTTAAAAGCGGTACCATTGGTTCGCTCGTGACATTTACTTCAGGAAGCACCCCTCAAACTTTAAAATCCCACGAAATCAACACCTAAATTTGCAGTTTTGAATAGAAAATTCATGTTTGACCTCTCTCCTCGACTCGATCCACTGTGCGACCCAGCGAAGGGACGCAGGGACACGCTTGCGCGCGACCCGAGTCGAACGCAGTCGATTCACCCTGATGAGGGTCTTAAAATAAATCGCGCGGATTGTAAAATTTCAAGGAAAACAAAACAAGAGCGAATAAAAATAGACGCGATATTTTACATCTAATCGCGCCCGAGATCTGAATTAATTGAGCCATCCGGAAATCAAAGTCGGGGCTGTAAAACTGCCTCCGAATCCACGCCGTTTCCGGGCCGAATTCTTCTCCTCGTGGGACGTTGAGGGGGATTTTCTCGGACTCAGTCGAGGGCCTTGCACCGACTAAACTCGGGGGCCATGGTCGCAAGTGCTAGTGCTTCTCCACGATTTCGCTATCACTCCTTTAACATTGAGGTTACGGGGTATCTAATTCTGATCAGGCAGTCAGGCAAATTGTACTTCGGGGGTGGGAATAAAAATAAGTCGGGGTTTTCGTACGATTTGACGTGAGGCTAACCAAAATATTGGTCCTTTGAGGACGGGAGCTGGGAAATTCGCGAAAAACTCCGTTTAACCCCCCCCCCCCCCCCTTGAGGCCACCCTTCGAAATGAATGAATGAATGATTTAAATAATTGAAAGGTTTACGACATCACTAATACTGAGAATTATGGTTTGAAACTATAACAAAGTTGCGATGAGCTTTTAGGGAGTAGTAGTGGTGAGTGACAGTAGTGAGTAGTCATTTGTGACCCCAGGCGGATATTTAACAAGCTGAGGTTCTACGTTTGGGCGCATTTTGCCAGACTCCAAGAAAATGATTAACAGATGGGATAGGTAAGAGGTTTAGATGATCGGTGTACCGCTGGGTAAGGAATTTTCGTGGCTAAAGTCAGAAAGGTCTTCAGTTAAGTAGATTACCTACATTCATAAAACACATTGAGGCTCCATACTTATTTTGCTTCGTCCAAAGGGGGAGAAAGATAAGTTAGATAGAGAGCTAGACAGTTTAAAAAACCTTTAAGCCTGCAGGCAAGTATTTTCGTAAAAGGCCGAGGAGAATGAAAGGCAATATACTTAAAAATGTAACGGAACATCTGACAGCTACCTGTCATATCTGCTTTGACTACGACCACGACAAGAAACATTTGAATAACTAAGGGACGCGTGAATCAAAATTAACTTCTAGTCGAAATGATCAGGAAAACTGTCGATGGAAGAGTTCTCGAGTACGGAAGCAGATTGCAAAATCCTGCACTCAGCTATTTCCCTAACATAGGCAGGCATAGGAATAGGAATGAGCCTATTCGAGCATGCTTGAGATCATCAGAAAATGAAAGGAGGGTCGGGTCACCTTCCCTCTCGCCCGATTGCTCTGAACGAATTCATAGGAGAGCCTAAAATTCGGTAAGTATGTGGTTCGATAAAATGTGGAGCTAACTATCTGTGGAGTTTTCATGAAAGATACTACAGACGAAGGATGAGCAGTGAAATCATTTAGATTGATAATATTAAGCGAAATTCAAATTGGGAATTTAATCTTCGTGAGGAAGTCAGCTTTGATAAATGGACACGTGATGAAACGAATAAGGCAGGTTGATTTTAACCCTACTTAAATATTTGAAATTAAAGGCAGGAAACAGGTTCGAGATGGGGATAATAAAGGAGTTTCCCTGATCTGTTTGTAAGGATTGTAGATTAACAGACCCCGCAATTTCTAGGAAGTGAATAATTCAGATTCGAAATAAAAATAACACGGTAAGTACGGTAGGAGTTGAGTGATTAATATCAAGTCGACTTCGATGGGAGCACGCGTTCACAGAAGAATTCCGAGTAAGTCAGGGATGAAACGATAAGTTAAAGTTGCTGGAGCTACCATGAGAGGGCAATAATTGGTAATTAAAAATTGAAAATATAAAGCGCTGGTTGAAATAAGTTGCTTGAATAAGATAAGAGTTGGAGGGAAAAGAAAATGAGCAAATACCTGAGTAGCATCTGAATACGGTGTTGATGAGTTTTTATCCACTAACTGAGATCCAAACATGGGTAACCCACTAGATGTGGGACTATCGGAACGACTTAAATCACTGTGCTGGGGCACCATGATCAAAAAATTTAAAACATAACACTAACTTCCAATAAATAAAGAACGGAGAGAAATCAAAAACACTTCAGTATTTAAACACCATGAAAATTAGAGACTGCTATTCACAAAATGCACGAGGAGAAAAAAGAAAATTAAATTTTTGAGCCGATTAACTGTAATTAAATTGCTTTGAAGGTTTCGCGTAAAAAAATGAAGGTATCAAAACTAATTCATCGATGCATTTCCGAAACGTTTTCAACAGGGACGAACACGTTTCACACACTTGCACAGATATTAGGCGAACGAGCGGCGACCAGATAGCGAAGCGTCAGGCAGCGACTGACTTGCTCCGCGTGGAAATGTTGTGGTACTCCGCGATTCGAATCAAAACAATCCCCCACCACTGCGGGACCGACGAATCACAGGCGGGCGCGGCGGCGTCAAAATGGGCCGCAGCACTTGCGCGCTCCAGCTGCAGCTGAGTGTAAACAACCTGGGAACAGATAAACGCACATTGTCAGCTACATATTATCATTATTCGTATGCTACTGAGTTCATGAGACTTCTTAGAAACGTGAGCGCTAAAGATCCATGCACTGTTTATCTCCTTTTTTCATTTGATAAACTACCTTTCTTTTCATACATTACAATCATCGAGCTAATATTCATGCTGAGGAAAAACCAATTAGGGGATGAAAATGCATATGACATGGTTACAGTGATTACAGTAGCCAGTATATAAACACCATAAAACTCATATTATTTTACGTATAAATAAATTGAAAAATGTACGAAATGAGAAGTTTTCAGGTTTTATCATGTTTACAATTTTCAATTTTGAGAGTCTCTCAAGGATGTAAGATTCACCCCATCTCATCTCCAATTAATTTGGGGTTGCTTTTTGAATTTACAACAAAAAAAAAAGTGACAGAGAATAAATGTTTATTTTCCCCGTATTTTTTCCAACAGGTTGAAGTTTGTCCCTTTAATGTACGACGAGGGGATGAGAAAGGCATTTTACAATTGCTAGGTTCAGGCAAAGGCAGAAAAATAGCAGTTAGATAATTTCATTCGGAAAGGTGGGAAGCTTGAATTTTAGGACGAGAGAAAATTGTCGTTGACTAAATCTAATTATTTACTGTGGTTTCCTGGGAAGGGATAGGAGTATGAAATGAGGGAAAGTTCGAAATTTACGAAAATGTGTCGATTTCCTGACTCGATCGGAGAAAAAATTTAAATGATTTATGATGTAAAAATGTAACATGCACAATATCCGTGGATCATGAGAAAGAAAAAAATATTGTTCACAAATCCTGCTCCAATGCATAAAAACTAGGAACTCTCTTCCGGACGAAGACATTGCACTACCTCTTTTTTTCATCACCTTGATCTTGACGGATCTGCTTACTCAAAGCACGTGGATAAATACTTAAAATTCGAGAAGAAGGGGAAAGAAAATCTACAGGTATCTTAAACCTATCAGAGAAAGTGCAACGGCTTTCACTTGGGATGAGCATTTTAAAGCATCGCGTGTTTGAGGGGGTGAAATTCTGACACAAGAAAACTCACCAGAAATTGGTCCAGAGGGTACGTTGAATCCGTATCTACGCGTGTAATGTGGTTACTTTGATGCTGACATCCATGACGACTTAAAACTTGTCAGCTGATCAACTAACTCACGTGTGCTGAGGGCGGCGAGACTTTCCTTGGCAAACGAGGCAACGCAACTAACTGGGCGACTGGGCGCGAGACCGTGAATGAAAACACTCGCTCTCGGACCCAAAACACTGGCTCGCGGCCCAATTTGACGCCGCCGCTTCTCGCCGCGCCCGCCAGGGGCAGCACGGTACATGGTACACTTTCGTTCACGGCGCTCATCCCATCGCCGTTGCGCAATATATTCGCCGGGGTTCGTTAAACTTTCGGCCTAGCCTTGAGGGTTGCCACCGTCCTCGCCCGAGCTTCGGCCCGGGGTATTTGCAATGAGATTAAAAGGTTTGGCTGACCCTCAAATAAATGATCCAAGGGCTCACTCTTCTCAAACTAACGGCGAGATAAACCTACCTTATGACTACCTCACTCCGGGGTGCGCGTCGATAAGCGCTGCGAACACGAACCCCTGAGCCATGCGCTTTAGTCAGAGCTAATGCTTGAATTGCACCTATGAAGTTTCTACCGGGGTTTCGACACAGCATATCGACATAGAGTACATAGAGTCGTAATGTAAATGGGAGAGCTGGCGCCATGTTCTGCTCGACGAGTTCCGAGCCCGGTGTGCGCCGAGTTTGGGTCACTTTTTCGATACATGTTCGATCCAAAATGGCGGTGTGGAATACGTGGTGATTCCTATCATCTTTGTTTACATCGGGTAGCCGGGTACCCGTGTATCGCAAAGAATCGATTATATATCGAAAAAGTGACCCGGCGTCACACAGGAGTCTCGGAATTCGGGACCTGGAAAATGCTTAAAAGTGGCGCAAGCTCACCCACTTACATTACGACTCTATGTACTCTATGCATATCGACGGCGAAACTGCAAACATGCGTATCTCGGTGTCAGTTGTAGTGTTTCGAAATCTCCTCTCCTATTTTAATTTTGCAAAGGGAGACCGGACCTGGCTTGAAGTTTTCACAGAATATTCCTCATAAAGAAATGAAAAATCGTTGACATTTTTAAAAAATTACGTTCGGTAGTATGTCAGGTGGAAAATAAAGTAAGACAGGAAGTCTGAAACGCCGTGAACTCGGATGCGCATTTCTGCAGTTTCACCATCGATATTCAGGTGTAATTACCATGAATCATAGACATTTTTGAGTGGAATTTCAGTCAATAGACGAGGCACTTCTTTTTGGTGAAATGAGGACTTAAAATTTTTGTTGCTCCTAGCAGTACTTCTTGTGAAGTGCCCGTAAATAGCGAATGAATAATTAAAAATGATTATAAAAATGATGAAGTATGATTGACGAGTCATAAGCTGCTTCAACCTAAATTGAGGTAAATACGACCTCCTAAGAGACCTTTAAACATATTTCCTCCTTTTCAAATGACTATTGATTTGAACATACCATAGCATAGCTCGAGCAAACTTAACCTTAATTTATATCGAAATTCAAAAATAAGAGACTTCTAAAATGTAAACGCGATACAACTATTCGCGCAAGATGGATGTCCACATTGCATATGAAAAATGTAAGACACGATGCCGTGAGTCGTGCACTCGCAATGCTCTGCTCTAGTTTGAAGCAACATCACAAATAAGACAAACGCAAACAAACACAATATGGAAATAAAGCGAGGGAAAGGATGCGCCTTAACGACGGCGCAGAGATACAACTATTCGTACTTGATGGACGTCCGTGCTGCATCTGAAAAATTGAAGGCGCGATGACGCGAATCGTGAGCTCTCAATGCTCTGCTTTATACTGTCAATGAAGCATCGCTCTGATTCGGGAGAAAAGTTTAAAAAAAAGCCTGAAAACATCTCTCCTACCTTCGCCTGTATTACTCACGTAGTGCTTGAAGCACCATTACGAATAAGACAAACGGAAACAAACACAATATGGGAAAAAGGGGAGGGAAAGGATGCGTGTTTACGACAACGCAGAGATACAACTATTCGTGCTTGATGGACGTCCGTGCTGCATCTGAAGAATTGAAGGCGCGATGACGCGAGGCGTGAGCTCTCAATGCTGTGCTTCACGTTCAATTCTGCAATTTTTACTCCGTGCGATCAATAAACTTTGAACCTGAAAATAGCGTAAACTTGTGCTGATTTGCCAAAATTTTCTGAACCCCTTCACGTAGGGAATGTCCTACAAGGAAATTAGAAATATCACATTACGCCCCTTCAACCAGCCAAGGGTCTACGTCCTCAGATGCGAGCTAGTCCGACCCTGGTCGGACGTTAGGTCAAATTCCCTGCTTTCTGCCGCGAGCAAAATCGTGACTACTGTGGATGATACCACTATTCGGCCACGAGGAAGCTCGGGTTGCCTACATTGAAAATTGAAGGCAAACCGACAGTGAGATAAAGTCTCCACTCTGTACACCACGCTCGGTAAATTATTCTCGCTTTCTTTCTCGACCAATCGTGAAATCTGATAAAAGTAGCATCACTTGGCCATGTGTAAGCTTTTGTACCCTACATTTAAAACTGAGGGCAGACTGATAAAGCGCAAACGTCAGCTCTATGAAATTTTTCAAGGTTCTCCCTGATGCTAAAAAGATTCCCTGAAAATTATTAATTTTACAGGTTTTTAGGTGCCCTGGTATTTCTCAAAGTTTGCGTGTAAGATATTTAAAAATTAGTCATGAGGAGCGTCGGACTCTGTCTTCCTAGGGGTATCTAGTCCACCCCCCCCCCCCCCCCCCCNTAGTGTGGGGCGCGGACCTCTTAGAAGTGAACGCCATCAGGGCCTTTTTCCACCAGTCTGTCTTTGCTTTTGGAGAGACACTTTCAAAAGATGCACAGAGACGAATGTACTATTGTACACCTAAAAATTGCAAGCTAAATAAGAATATGTGCTTTATCTTATTTGGAAGCATGTTTATGAATTGAACGGGATACTATGTTACGCGAAACTGCTTTCTTAGCTTCAGACAAACGTTAGGACCCCAACATTTTCTAGACATCGAGGGAAAGAGCCTTGCCTTTTCTTTGAGAGGCATTCATTTTTTACTTCGGACTATTGACGCGTGCGTTTGCACATTTGGAATTAGGCTCGTTAATACGAGAAACGGCCCGTAGCCTTCAATAGTCACTACGATCAGACTAATTTGGATACATTAATCGCAATTTTTCATTCAGACGACGATTTTTCCCCTATTCTGAAGGTGTACATTAATGTATCTGGGTCAAAGCAATTTACCAGACTGCGACCTTATACTCATATTTTCAATCTCAGTGACAATCATCTCGAAAACTCCAGATATGAAACCGGAGAGACTTACTATTGTTTCTTGACGTGTCCTTTGGCTGCCATAGACAGATCTCTTACAAAGCGTTCAAAAAATAACATTTAATTTTTCTTGTTAGTTCAATATTCATCGTTGTTGTTGAGGGCTCCTTACAGTTTTTTTCCTTGAAATGAAATGCCGATGGTAATCGTGATGGATCAACAATGGAGATGAGGTTCCATTACCTTCCAAACCAGGGGATTCATTCTAATTATGATTACATGTTTAAGTTCCTATCAATAAGGAACATTTTTGGATTCCTATTGTGGATATCTATACTATTGGATTCCTAACTTTTAGTGTCATAGCGATAAGTTAATCTATATATGATGGATATTATTTTGATTGGAAAATATTTGTTTCTCTCCGCGTGGTATAATCATCCATTCACTGTAACCATCCTTCGAACAGTATGCTCTTCACAACCGTCGACAACATGCAATTGCAACGTGAAATTAAGAGGCTCGCCTCGAAGTGACAGTCAAAAAAACACAAACAACCGCATTGGCATTTGTTTACTTCGATTTGGGATATTTGCGCTTATATTTTCCTGAAATAATACTCCTTAATTTACTTTTATGAGTCGCTTCATATAGTTCAATTAAAATCAAGTTGCTGATCCCGCAGAAAAAAAAAGAGAAAAAAACACACACTTGCGAGAGTTGGCAAAGAAATGGGGCAGTCATAAAAGACTGCAAGCTTACAAACTAATTAATTAGCATTAGCAATTTGAGTCATTGGGAAATTTTCCCGAGAAAAGCTCACAAGGAATTTCCCAACGAGCTTAAGGGAATTTTTATTTTATTTTTATTTTAAATTTGTAATCAACAAGTTTTAAAACTTATTTTATAGTACAAGGTAATACACGTGAGTTGGTTTAATTTGCATTGAGCTTAAAATTATTGAGGCATTTTGGAGGTGTGGCCAAGTAAATTAGATCTACCTTATTACAGCCAAGTTTATCTTTGTTGCTCGCATGAGGTGGGACGTCTCTCTAACCTTCTGTCTAAATCTCCTCTCTATAACTTATAACTTACATTATGAGCATAGACACTCTTGCCTATACATCGAAAGCTAACAAAATGGGTATCCTTAGTTCAATCGAAATATGGTTATTCGTCAGTACTAGTATCAGTACCGTTATTCCCTCAAATAAAACGTTATTCGTCGGTAAGATATCCCTAACCAAAAAATCTTCTTAAAAATGCGTAGAAAATTAGCCCTTACAATTTCAAACTGTTCTATATTTTACATTTCAAACTCACAGGAAACTAACTGAAAGTGGATTAATGATGCGGTGTTTCACAGGAGTGGACACATTACTGAAAACAACTACCACTGCTCCTCAGCCGTGCACATTACCTACTTATGAGCGCAAAACAATGCACTGTTATTTACATAGATAGTTAACCAACATGAAGTTTGATACGAATAAGTGTAACTTCATTACAGCAAGCAACTGTAACTGCTCCCAAGCCACTCACATTGCCTTCTTCAGTATTGAAGGCGGCCTGGTCAAAATGAGCGCGCAACGATGCACTGCTGATAGTAGTCCTCTAATGTTGCAATGAAGATTCAAATTTGCGACTTATGTCATCAGTAATTCGGAACTGAGATTACTCATCGTTAGTGGCTCGCACAATGACGACGAAATTGCACAACCTTAGAAACACTGTAGTGTACTTGGCTCCTTTCAACGGCTGCTGCTCAATACAACGTGAAAATGAGCTTTGAGATTAAACTTCAGATCTCCCTATTTCCGGGATCTGAGAATA